TCCGAAACGTCGGTTAACACCACATATACACGGTGCCAAATCCCAGAAGACTGCTTTCTTCATAGTCACCGCCGTGAAAGCCTCAAATCTTACAAGAAAAAGAAATGCTTGGTGAGAGAGAGAATCCCTTCTAGATATCTGCCACATTACAAAAGGTTCAAATGCTGGATTTTACAGACGCCAGCTACAAACGTGTGTCTTCGTTTTCGCTTTCGTTTTAACCAGTTACGTGTCATGGTTACGAAAATGACAATACACTGAAGCACCGAACACATTTTGTGGACATTCTGTATATATGACGCATAGAGAAATAGCCATATATCAAACAATTAAAGGAAACTTGTCCGTGTTGCAACACACAGATTTCAGTCATGTTCCAACGATGGAACTTGTAAAGGAATGTTTTAAACAGAGTTGCCACATTTATTAACTTTGCTGGAAGCCACCAAGATTAGCTAATAAGATTACTATACATCATGTGAGGCCTTGGAGCATGTAAAGGTAATGTTCTCTTATGTGAAGGTAAAGCTGTCCCTGCGCTTAATTAAGCACCACGTCAAGATGAAGAAACGGGGAGAAGTGGTATAGTTACTCGTGTCCCTCATCACGTCACTAGATGGTGTTAGCCAGTTTTCCATCTTCGACGCTTCACTCCGAAGGAAGAGTTTCCGGAAGTTTCATCAATAGGAGACGTTGGGCCCTTGTTTCGAGCACGCTAATGAAATTCGGTGAAATATATAAATTATAGAGTAACTTTCTCCAGAGTCTCCTTGTTTTCTCTCTTTTAAGTCGAGATATTCTCTTAAAATATCTTGTTCAGAAATACCCCCTTGTCTAAGTTCGTCCCTTAATCCGAGAGACAAAATTTTGAACTCGCACACAACAGCAAACAAAATTATGAACAGGAAGAAGAAAGATTCTTAACTGTGCAATACAAAGCAGTCTCCTCTTTCAATGTGCCCTAAACACCTTAACGAAAACAATTTTCTTGTCTAATTTTGGTCCAAATTCTTCGAAATGTACCACTTTTTCAAAGGAATTGTTAGTTATATTCATATTGCAATTTTTCCTGTGTTATGGTGACGATATCCTGAAGACGGAGGCAGTATATTCACCCGAAATATTGGTAACCATAAACTGAACTATACGCTGTTACATCCCAGAAGGCCACAATATCAGTCTCGGGTAGCGAACACACAACTGTACAGATCGCGCCACTTCAGAATCAGAACAGGTGGAGGAGATGCTGGAAGGACAGAAACTTAAATTACGAATAAGACGAAGCAGTGAGAGGTGAAAGACGAGGAGAAGAGTAAAGTAACAGTTGTAGAAAATTGACAGTTATATGATACAGACGGAGGGGGCAGGCTGTAGCACTGTGCTACAAGCCGGAAGGTCGCAAGGTTCGATTCCAAACGTGGCCATTGGTTTTTCCAATTGACCTAATCCTTCCAGCCGCACTATGGCCCTGGGGTCGTCCCAGCCTCTAACAAAATTGAGTACCAGGAATCTTCCTGGGTGTAAAGGGCGGCTGGCTCGTAAGGCTGATATCATCGCCATCTGTGAACCGATTATCTAGAAAATGTGGGAGCCTCGACGTCTCACAACCCTACGTGCCTCCACGGCCTGTTACAGGAATGGCTTGAGGGTGCGGAGCTTAAAAAGAAGGAAAAGGAAATGATGGAGCGAAAGGAGAAGATGAAAACGAAGCAAAAAGGAAAAGCAGTAAGAAAGTGAAGGAGAGACACAAAGGCAAAATAAAAGATTATCTGAGGGTGTTTGAGAACAGGGTGTTGAGAATATTTGGACCGAAGAGAGATGAAGTGACAGGAGGTTGGAGAAACCTGCACAATGAAGAGCTTCATAACTTGTACTCTTCTCCAAGTATAATTAGAATGATCAAGTCAAGGAGGATGAGATGGACAGGGCATATAGCACGAAGAGGGGGAAAGAGGAATACATATAGGATATTTGTGAGAAAGCCAGAGGGAAAGGCGTAGGTGGGTGGACAATATTAAAATTGATCTTAGAGAGATAGAATGGGATGGTACGGATTGGATTGATTTGGCTCAGGACATGGACCAGTGGAAGACTCTTGTGAACACGGTAATGAACACTCGGGTTCCATAAAATGATGGGAAATTCTTGAGTAGCTGCAGAATTAGCGGCTCCTCCATAAGGGCTCAGCTTCATGAGTAAGTAAGTAAGTAAGTAAGGTATCCGCGTGGAAGACGACGAAAAGGAAACCCGGTACCTGAAGATATTACTAGCCAACCTTGTCACTGGGGGGAATAAATACAGGGACCTGGTCCTCCAGGTTGGGGGTTGAATGCAAGGCTCACAAACCTCTCAAAAAAATATTGTTTTGCTTACTTAATCCGTTCCCCTTGTGCCTTACGGTGTCGAGGGTGTTTCTTTTTTCATTTTGATCACTTCACAAACGGTAGGACTCCTTAGACTAGTGATCAGCTCGTTGTAAGGCATGTACATAAACACAGGGCAACACAGACACAGAATAAACACATACACATAACAAACATCCATGGCTTTTGTGAGATTTGAACCCACGATCCCGGCTTTCGGGCGAGCGAAGACAGTATATGCCTTAAGGTCGCTCGGCTACCGTGACCGGCTAAAAATATTGTTGCGAAATCAAAATAAGTGAAAACCTGAGGGTCTAATTTAAGTCCAAACTGGCAGAATCCTGTAAGAAAGGGTATGGCTCAATGGGGCTGTTACGCCAATGCTGATAATGATGATTTGTAAAGAGAAAGATTATAGACTAAGACAAAGACAAGAAGAAAAGAAGGGAAAAGTAATAAATAGGTAAATAGCTTAGGCCTGAAAGTGGTATGAACCCTCACTGGCGTGAAAACCTCAAATGTTACAAATATTCGGTAATTCTTCGTAACAAAGTACGTGCCTATACGTGTGGAGAGCTGTGACTTGAACTGCAGTAGACATTGACCTCTGACCGCTAACAGGAAATGGAGCAAACGCAGTGTCTCCAATTTATCATACTGAGACGTGTGCTCGGCCACTCAGCACCTAACTTAAGTTCAAGGAGTCAATTGGAAGATTTCACTTGCAAACAATTTTATGCCCCATTGATCTTTCTGTTCATGATTTACACCGGCATTAATCAAAACGATCTTGCGCAACTGCAAAGATTATCTCAATTTCTTTCCTTTCTATGCGCCATTATTCTGCTGACTCCTATTGTTGCCCTCCGCCCCAACCCATATTGTGAACTTTCTTCTCAGATCAATTTCGAGCAATCAATCATTTTGACTTACATAACGTAATTGCTACCCCCCAGCAACCGGAGCACTTCCCAGATGTTTGTGAATTCGCTGTAGTCTTCATTAGCGCAGTAGCGCAACAAATTTCCCTGCGCTTGTCCCACATTTTGCGAACTTATCTCCTTTGAGCAAAGCCCTTTTTGAGAAGCTAAATTCACTTAGTGGGGGGTGGAGTCCAACTGGATCCACTCGGCACGGCGGCCACTGATTGGCCTATTGTACCTGCCCCGAATGATTATGATGATGGAGAATTTGGTGGAATGAAGATTTGCAGGGGAAACCGAAGTACTCGGAGAAATCCCGCCCCAGGCCACTTTGTCCACCACAAATCCCACTTGACCAGATCCGGGATCGAACCCGGGTCGCCGTGGTTGGAAGCCAGTGACTAACCGCTTGAGCTATGGCGCGGCCTTTTTGAAAAGCTAACCACTTTTTCAGTTTGACAAGAAATTTACAACATTTTTTAGATCCGGTATTGGCCTATATTCTGAGTCAGATGACTGCAGTCTATACCTGCCTATCCTACTGCTTTCGTGTCTATTTCAGTATCTTATTATCCCTTCCATACCTGGGTCTTCCCATTAATTTTTTCCATCAAGTTTTCCCGTCAAAATCCTGATGCATTTCTCTTCTCTCTCGTGCGTTCTACAATCCCCGTCAATCTCATTCCCCTTAATTTCATTATTTAAATTATTAAAGGAGAAGAGTAAAACTGCGATCTTTCTCCTTTTTTCTCTGACCGCAGGAAACAAGATCTGAAGATCTCCCTGAGGTATCTGAAGATTTGTGTCTGCAGGCGTGTGACGCAACCGTTACCTGCTTTTCGGAGAAACCTTCGTACTATCCTGCCAGACTACACGGAGTGCATCGCAGAAGATAATAATCTTCAATGGCTCTCTTATTTGAATGTCTTGTCTCACAACAGAAATAAAATACAAATCAGTACGTCTGCAAGACGTGCAAAACCTCACACGAAAAATTATCAGCATTTATTTCTATTAAAAATTTTCATAAATTTTTATATTCCATTGAAGATATTCATGATAATATTATTTCTGCGCTTATGACTTTGAACTTTATGGTTCTTCTGTCGATGTTTCGGATTATATTCTGCTTCCATCATCAGGTTTGATATGAGAAGATTGAGTGAAAGTTCATGCATATTTTGGTCGAACGAACGAAGAGAGCTATGAGCCTGTTGGACCGAAATCTATATATGCACGATCACTCACATACAAACTACACACATGGAAGCAATATGTACCTCCGAAACGTCGGAAACACTACCCACATTCATTCTACACAGAAATATAAGAACAGAGTCAACATCAAGAAGAATCACCCCGTGATAGTCTAATATCAACGATTCGAAGCTATTTAGCTTCTGACATGAAGGCTTTGTTAAAGAACACTAAAAACAGTTGAGATAATTCCGTATGCAAAATACCTCCCACGCAAATTCTGAAAAGAGAAAAAGTATTTTATAACGTGTACAGGAAGCACTTCTAACATAGCCCATAATTCACATTAAAAGAATAAAAGAAAGCTAAAATGTTCGTGTAAGAGTTACTATTTGATTCCCATCAGAGAAAGGGCTGTACCCCCACTCCCTGTGAATCTTCTCTCCCTCTCTCTCTGTCTCAAGTCCTGCGTCTATTCCCTCCCACATTTTTCTTACTATTCACGTCTCCCCACGGCAGTAAGTAGGGGATCAGCTATTGTATAAATATCCCATCGGGCTATGGGTACTTATCAGTTTGGTTAGTGCATCGCTATCAGCGTTATCAGCATGAACACGGTGCGTACGCCAGAGCTCTCTAGTGGGATATTAACAAACTTGGTAAAGGCATTCTTTTTTTGTGTGTGATTCATTTTACATCGCCCTATCTAGAGTGGGTAGAATTATATGTTGATCATAGAAGAATTGGAAAGGATTTGGAAGGAGGCTGTCATGGTCTAATCGAGGTATTATACAGGCATATATGTGAAAGGACTGAGGAAAAGCACGTAAAATCTCATTGAGGATAGCTTCGGTTCTGCACGAGATTCGAATTGAGCGTGTCCCGAATACAAATCTAGAAATTTACCGCTGCGCCAACCTGCTTGATCTTAGCATTCGTGTAACTGAAATTATGTTTATTTTATTTTATTTTATTTGTTATTTATATTATGACGCCGTCTATATATCGGTTTACGTGGGATTGGCGGCCAATAATGAATTAGAACGGCTAGAGAAGGAAGCGGTCGTGGCCAATACGAGGGGCTATTTCGCATTAGGCTGGAGGATGCTACAGTAAATCACACATGGACTTCGAATAACAAATTTACAGACCGAGATCTGAACCCAGAACATGAAGTAAGAATATTAACCAAAGAGATGGCCGTTTCGTCTTATTCTGACAGGTAATGATCGCTATAGGGAAACGTAAAGATTAAAATATCCAGAACTGTAATTCTGCCGTTCGTTCGGTATGGGTGCGAAACTTGCTCTCTCTCTCTCTCTCATTATATCAAGCACAGACGGAGCGTGTTTCAAAACAGGCCGCTGAAGTATTCAGACCCTGTAGCGATGAAGTGACGGAATTTGCTTAATGAGAATCTCATAATTTGTACTCCACAGCAAAATATATTAGAAACGTTGAAATCAAGGATTAGATGGGCGGAACATGCAGCATGAATATGGGAGAATATTAAAACCACACAAAAAGTCTATAAGGTAACCTGAAGGACAAAGAAAGCTTAGAATACTTAGATGGTAATTCTAGGATAATATTAAAATTGATCTCTTAGAAATAGGATTGGGATATATGTATCGGAATCATGTGATTCAGGGTAGAGAACACTAGCGATGTGAACACGGCAATGCATAAAGCGCTCGAAATTTCTTGGCAATGTGGTCGAAGCTTAACTTGCCATAAAGCACATTCGTTTCGAGAAGTTAACAGTCGCTCAGGTAGTCAAGAAATTTCACTTCTTTTATTGACCCCAAAGGTTCATTACTGCACTCACAAGAGCCCAACATATGTTGGCATACAGCCGTGGCTTCATAACAGGGCTGCAATTCTGTCCACAGCTGTTAAGACTGGGAGATATAAGTTCACATTACATAGCCCAAAGCCAAGATAATTGGTTCTATTTATTTTGTAGTTTATTTAACCAGTCTGCAGGCAACATAATATACAGTACGAAGATCAGATGGGAAGTATATTTAAAGTTGTCCCCTTGCTTAATTAATTAAACTCCACAACACGAAGATATATAGGCCTGTGGAGGTATAGCTCCACCGTTCTTGAACTCGGCACTAAATGGAGTTGAGTGCTAAGCTTCATTCCCTCATCACTTTACCCCCGGGGATAGCGCCCCTGATACTCTTGATAGGAGGTTGGATGCACCCCCAGAGCCAGTCTGGACGCCGTGGGGTACAGAAATCTCTTGTCACTGTCAGGAAATGATCGTGAGTTACTGAAAGTCTCGTTAAGTAAATCAAGATTGACCAAGATAATGAATTCGTTAAGAATACGCGCGAGGTACAATATAAAAATTCTTGGTTTTCTCAGTCAACTAACTGACTCCATGGAGCCAAGCCTTTCTTGAGAAGACAACAGCCGATCGACTACTTAAGAATTTCTGAGTGCGTAGGAACCTGAACGTTCATTGCCGTCTTCAAAAGAGCCCTCCACTGGTCCCTATCCTGAGCTAGAGCAATCCAGTCCACACCACCCCATCCTCTCTCTCTTAGATCCATTTTAATAATATCCTCCCACGTTTTCCTGGTGGTCTCTTTCCTTATGAGTTTCCAACCAAACCCCTATATACATTCCTTTTCACCCCCAGGCATCGGCTACATGTCCTACCCATCTCATCCTCTTTGATTTCGCCGAACAGTACAAGTTATGAAGGGGGCACGCGGTAGCGTAGTTAGTTGAGGCAGTGCTACGAGCCGGAAGGTCGCGGTTGCGATTCCAGATGAGGTGTTGGACATTTCAATTTGCCTAATCCTTCCAGTCGCACTATGGTCCTGGGATGGACTCAGCCTCTAACAGAAATGAGTACCAGGTATGTTCCTCGGGGGTAAAGGGCGACCAGCGCGTAAGGCTGAAAACCTCACCGCCATCTGTGAGCTGATTGTCTAGAACATGTGGGAGTCTCAACGTTTCACAAACCTACCTGCCTTCACGGTCTGTTACAGGGATAGCTTTACGTTTACTTTTATTATTATTATTATTATTATTATTATTATTATTCGTAATATATCTCACGACACTATCAGTAGCTCGGGATATGAGGCGTTGATTGGTTGGATGATAACGAGTAATTAATTGGAAATATGGCAGAAGCAATTGTCGTGGTCTCCTTTCAGTTAATATCCCGTTATTGTCTTGGAGAGACTTAGACAGACCACGAAAACCATAAGTCAGGTTGAATGAATGAATGAATGAAGGGATAGGCCTTCTCGGCCCTTGCATCTAGACCTCAGTGATCCATTGTGCTTCGCCTTTTTTAATTATTCCCTCAGCAACCCTACGCTTCGGATGAAGCGCAGGATTTTGGACGTGGGGGCGTCAAAATAGTCACTTGGTTCCATAAAGTACTGACCCAAGTGACGTAGTCTTAAATAAGCTAAAGCCTCACATTCACAGAGGACGTGTGTGGCTGTTTCATTTTCTGTCTGACACCTCACACAGGTGGGACTATCATTCAGTCCCAGTTTGAACAGGTGTCCTTTGAGATGACAGTGCCCTGTAAGTAGTCCTACCACCCATATAAGTCAGGTTAATCACTATCCAGTTCGAAAGCAAGTTAGCAGCGTTACTGACCGAGCCTGCTTCGTGGTTCAGCTGATTCCATCACTAAACTTTGCCACGGCACCCTTCATATCTAAATGAGACTGTATAGAAAGAGCTACATTTATATAAATAATTTGCTAAGAGCACCAATAAAAGTCTCGTGGAAATGGACGCTAAAATGGCTGTCCATTTCTAAAAGTCTAGACCGGGACTTCTGATGTCCTGAAGAATTTCCTATTTCTATTCGTTCTCTGCAGCCAAGTCACGGTTTCTAAAATAGGCCACGACAAATTTCTTCCAAATTCCTTTCTAAATCATCAATCATTCTATTCTACGTACGTAATGACGTCGTCGTAAAACTATCCACAGACAATCCAAGCGTTCTTGAACTTGCCACTAGGAGAACAGTTTTACCATAACTTCCTTTCGTGTTCTGCTTCAATCCAAAATGTATGTGAAACTCTCAGTAAGTCCTTGAGGAAATATTTTAAACTATAAACATTACGCGAGAACAGAGTCTTCTTGTTCTTTGTGAATGCTCGGCTAACTAGTGCGAGTGGGTGGTGAACATTTGCAGGACCCGTGACCAATCAGTTGAGTGGCTGTGAAGTCATCAGGAAGTCCTAAATGCCTGATTATGTGAAAATGAAAGTTTGTTGAGTGGTAATTACGAACAAAAGTGATTGTTATGAATGAGCCTTCAATTTAACTACCTTTTCTACAGTTAGCTTTTCATGTCTCTTAGTAAAAGCTAAAGTTGTCCGTGTGCTTAACTAATTAAGCACTACTTTATGAAGGCGTATGGGTGAGTGGAGGTATGGATAAACATTTACTCGAGCTCGGCACTAGTTGAAAGTGAGTGGTAAGCCTCATGCTACCGCTTTACCACCGGTACCCACTGGATAGGAGGCTGAGTGGCCTCAGACGACGTAGAGAAGAGGATATTCTTGGCCTTACGGGGGCTCGAACTCCGACACCTCGGTATTCCAGCCCATAGCTAGTCGCTATGCCGACTGAGCTAGCCCAGCCCCCCCTTGTCGTTTCTAGGTAATGGTTTGTAAACACGTTCCCGCGGCAATGAATGCATGCAACAATAGAAGAATTATTGGACACGTGGTTTTCTGTGTTGTCCGTGTCATATAAAAGGAGCGTCTGTAGGTTTGTGTATCCGCCTATAGTTGCTACGCAACAGCTTCGTTAACAATTTCTCGCGGCAGACGAAGAATTATTGGAGGAGTCGTCTTATATGCGGTCCTTGCCGTATCAAAGGAACGCAGCCGATTAGCTCGTGTTCTCTAAAGAGGTTCCTGTTCTGTCCACAGATCGCAGTTCTGGCAGCACTGTGTCTGGTGTCTGCGTGTCTCGCCAGACCACAGGGAAGCAACACGACGCCCATTCCCATCATTTCATACGTCAACGAAGGCGTCAATTTTGATGGATCATACAAATGGAGGTAAGTTATCAAGTAGACTGCACGAGCGATGTTTATTCACAGGCTTCTGCCAATATTTCACTACATAGTCCGCATTTCCACATTTTGAAGCCTCAGATGTATTTAAAAATTAAGTTCAATCTCAAAGAAAACATAATGTGATGCATACACCCATTGTTAGGCAACGGCTCGATAAACACCTTCCCGCGGAGACCGATTTTGGGTAAACAGCCCGTTCTACGTAAAGCTTGCAAAAATACGCCACAACAGTAGACATACATTGCTAGACAATTGATGTGTTTTCTGCGGGGTTCGATCCGAGGCTATATAACGAGAAGCCAACAATAACTGACAGTTCAGTTCAGGAGAAGTAGTGGATTAGTGTAGTGTGGTCAGAAGTCGAGAGTGTCCAGTCGAAGCCAGTGATTTGTGAAATGTTGCAGCAAGTTGCATAAATATCCAATAAATTCGATCATCAAATCCAAAACCCGTTTTATAAGTCAAGCAATCCCCAAAACATGTATAGGCACTGTGAGCAAACTGCGATGTCTTTAAAGTTAAGGACCAACACATAGACTCCATAATCAGAGTGTCATTAAATAATCAACTTTTAAAAAATATTAGCCGGTCACGGTAGTCACGCGGTCTAAGGTATTTACTGTCTTCGCTCGCTCAAAAGCCTGGATCGTGGGTTCGAATCCGACACAAGGCATGGATGTTTGGTATGTGTGTGTGTTTGTGTTGTCCTGTGTTTAAGTGTATGCCTTACAACGAGCTGATCACTAGTCTAAGGAGTCATAACGGCTGTAAAATGATAAAACTGAAAAGCTAAACCTCGACACCGTAAAGGTATAAGAGGAACGGATTAAATAAGCAAAAACAAGTAAAACAATATTAAAGTAGGTGACACGTAAAAGATCACTGTGTTTTAAACGGGTAAGAATGCCTAATTCAGATCTTAAAACAATGACTTAAGTAACTAATCCCATGAATCAGGGTATGCATGCAAGAGCTGATAGTTATTAACCTGTTCAAGATGTTCTCTGCTTGTATGGAACTGGAAAACTCATGACAATGTTCACGTGACTCTGTCCTGAGCAATTTGAAGAGAATTGGGTGTGAGGTTCTCACAGCGGTAACCGTGATGAGAGATATATTCTGGGATATGACGCTGTGAAGTCTGCTATAAGTTTGCCTAAATTTCTGAAAGACGTACTCTCCACATCTTCATGATGGCAGAATAGCCCAAGAAGCAGAATATTATAATTAATTAGCTAACTTTTCTAGAATATAGCCCACACAAGTTATATACTACTTTTATTTTCCACGTTGAAATTGTTTCATTATTATGTGTAAGAGAGATCTGGTCGGGATATGTAACAGCGTAGTCGGTATAGCGACTGGCTACCGGCTGGATGACCTAGGGGTCAGAGTTGGAGTCCCTGTAGACTCCANGTTTTTGTTTCTCTTTCTCTTTTTTTCCTGAAAACGGAGGCAGTACATTTCTCCGAAACTTCAGTAAACTTCTGGCAGACTACAGGATGTCACATACCAGAAGACAGTATTCTTGAAGTTGAACGACTTCCATCCGCTCACACATGATTTCTCTTGTATTAATTTTAATATTATCCCTGCAACTACGATTATGTCTCTAAAGTACTTCCTTTCTGTCATATATCTTGGCCAGAATTACAAAAATAAGAACTACTTAAGATATACATATATAGACATGAAATTCTTAATTTTTTTTAGTAAATAATCCAAATAACCTTAATTATAGATGTAACATCTGAAAATAATTATTATGTGTAAGAGAGATCTGGTCGGGATATGTAACAGCGTAGTCGGTATAGCGACTGGCTACCGGCTGGATGACCTAGGGGTCAGAGTTGGAGTCCCTGTAGACTCCAGAATTTTCTCTTTTCCACGTCGTCCAGACTGGCTCTGGGGCCCACCCAACCTCATATCCAATGGCTACCGGGGATAAAGCGGAAGGGGCGTGAAGCTGACCACTCACCTCCAACTAGTGCCGAGGTGAAGAAAATATGGATTAATACATCCATTCCCCCCATACGCCTTCATAGTGTAGTGCTTAATTAGTTAAGTACCGACGAAAGACCTGGAGTTTTTTCTACAAAATTTCGTACCCAACAAATTTCTCTAGGGACGGACAGTTTATAGATCATAAAATTTCTGTTTAGCAGTTGGGGAATAGGAGAGTTAAAAGTTCTGTTGATAGAGTAGCAGTCCTGTCCTACGTGACGTAACGCTACACTTCGCCAGAGTAGCAGTCCTGTCCTACGTGACGTAGCGCTACACTTCGCCAAGTAGCAGTCCTGTCCTACGTGACGTAACGCTACACTTCGCCAGAGTAGCAGTCCTGTCCTACGTGACGTAGCGCTACACTTCGCCAAGTAGCAGTCCTGTCCTACGTGACGTAACGCTACACTTCGCCAGAGTAGCAGTCCTGTCCTACGTGACGTAGCGCTACACTTCGCCAAGTAGCAGTCCTGTCCTACGTGACGTAACGCTACACTTCGCCAGAGTAGCAGTCCTGTCCTACGTGACGTAAAGCTACACTTCGCCAAACGGCCGCATCGCAGGGCCTCCCCGGCCCGGCTGAACTCCATGACGGACTTGTGCCTTGTCTTCTTGTTTGAGCGGCCTTTATAATTGTAATTTACAGCTGAAAGCACGAACTCTGTGGCTCTTAAGACCTTTAATTTTCCTTCCGCGTCACACAACACGTGGCCAAAATAAATTATGATGAATCTGCTGTGCGTTCTAAAATTCTACGTCTCATCTTTCTTCTTTTACTACGCGGCTAATGGACACAATGAGAGATGTTAAAATTGTGAAGGGCGAAACCTTTACATAAAGAGATAGAAACCTAAAACAGGTTCCGACTCGTCATCTTTTCTTTATACGAAATGCCATAAAAACGATTCAGCCTTCAAAGATAGAAAACTAAATGCTTCAAAGAATAGGTCCATGCAGCTTAGAGCACACTCTTTAAGACCACGAACTATTAGGAATGAAGGTATAATGATTCAAGTATTCTGAGATGTGACACCTGTAGGCTTCTATAAATTTGTCGGCCTTACGGAGGAACTTCTTGCCGTCATCTTCAAGGTAGAAGAACAAGCCTAGCGCGGAGAAGAAGGTACACTTATACAGGGTGTCCCAGGAAGGAAGGTCAATATTCCGGGAAGTCATAGTATCGGTCATTCGAAACAGAAAAGTGTATGTGTCCATGTGTCATATCCCGGACCGTTTCCGAGAGAGAGCTATTTCAGTGCATTTTCCTCTCACTGACGTCAGAACTTCGAACATAGCATTTGTAATTTATGTCATACGGAAGCAAGGAATGACAAAATAAGAGGTCATAGAGGATGAAAAATTATAAATATCCAATTTCCCCCCCCCCCCCAAAAAAAACACAGGTGCCCACGTCCCCGTAAAGGAGAAAGTTTCGAAAACGCATCATATACAGTACACACGCAACGTTTTTCTTGCTCAATCCCATCCATAAAAGAAACTCTGTATATAATAGGATAACTTTTAGGAAAATAACAATAATTTTAAAATACATTTTATTAATTTAGGTAAATATTTCAATATATTGTCACGTGTTCGGTGTTCCGTGACTAATAATATGATTGGATTCATTGATACTTCTTTACAAGAACTCTTAATTACATCCAGTTTCAACAGCTCACAGTCAATGACTGCCTAAGACTCGCTCCATTCCTTACTGGACCGCGAGTGTCTTGTCTTCTGCCGTTGACTGACTTGGATCTGATTTACGAATCGGTCACTTTTTCAGCTTCCGCTGTCCGCTGGTTAACTCTCCACAGCTGAACACTGAACTACTGAGCTGCTTTCTCAATTCTCTTCCGACTGAATCGCGAATGAACTCTCGAATCTGAGTCTGAGGCTTATGTTACGACCGACGGTCAGTCGGCCAGTCTGTCTAGGAACAAAGCATCCATCTGGGGCTCACGGCTAGACTTTTGTTACTGTCAGACAGTTGCAGGTTTGTTGATGTGGGGCGCTCTCTCTGACGAGAGGACGGGTCTGTCATTTACAATTGCTGCTGGTTGGTCCTCGCCAGCTCAGTCATTTTTGGGTATTTTACTGTCTCAAATTCGAGAATTTCCTTTTTGTCGCCTCCTACGACTAGCAGGGCTACGGTGGAGGTATTCGACCCCGTCCCATGTTATAACTTCGGGGAGAACTGAATATATTAGATCACCATTTCAAACAGTTCCTCTGTTATATTCTGTGTTTGTCCGTTGCTATGAAACGTGCCAAGCGAATTGCTAATTTCGTAGCGAACCGTTGTCTAGCAATGAACTATTGCGTGTCTTCCGTTGCCTCCGGGAACATGTGTTAATTTCGTAGTGAGCCCTTGTCGAGTAATGGACTATTCCGGCGTTCAGGCGTCATGTCACAATATTTAAATATCGTAATTCTAAGTAAAAACTTATATATGACAAGACTAATAGCAATGTATTTATTGCGACACAGCGTCCAGTAACGAATGTAGATGAACTGTAATATTTACAAACGACTGGTGATGGTAGTTGACGACCGAAACATATAACATAACAGCACAGAATCGACGTGTTTGAGAACAGATTCCTGAGGGGAACATCTGTACCTCAGTGATATTTACAGGAGGCAGGAGGCTGCTCTAAGATAATTTTCATAATCTGCCTTCTTCCAGATGAACAGACAAAGGAGGGTGAGATGAGCTGGGAATGTAGATGGTATGGGAGTGAAGACAAATGTGTACAACACTTTGACAGAAAATTCCTGAAGGAAAGATTGAACTTACAAGATTTTGGTGTAGATGTTAGGATAGTATTAAGACGGCTGATGAAGAACAAGAATTAGAGTGCGTCGATTGGATTCCTCTGGCTCAGGATACCGTCCTGTAGCGGGTTCTTATGGACATGATAATGAACCACTCGCTCATTCCCCTCTGTCTAAAATGCAACTTAAAATTGTTGACAATCTCTCTTTAATTTAAACTAATATTAAAATCACATTAATTGCTACATATTCCGAACTTTCTCGGCCATCTTCAGGCAACCCTTCACTGTTTGAAAACCGTTGTACTGCACTGGATCTGAAGTCAATACATTTCCACGCTACTGCATTATCGCTGTTCACACTAAAAGGTGTTTGTCTGAGAACGAAACTCTCTCTCCGTTCCGTCTCATTTTCATTTTTCGGCGTCCATGTTTCTGTAATTTATAATATCTGTTTATTGTCAATACAAAGATGTATCGATTGTCTGAAAATGGTCGAGAAAGGCCGAGACATGTAGCGTTTGATGTGATTTTAATGTTACTTTAAATTAAATAGAGATTATGAGCAGTTTTAATTTTCATTAAAGACGGTGATGAATGAGTGGCACATCAATGCAACAGAATGCTTAAATATAATATTACGGTAATGAACATTCGGGTTCTAAAAAATGGGAGTTTTTTTGGGGGTTAGCTAAGCAACTATTAGTTCTCAAAACACTCTCCTTGTAGAGTTCATTTTGATGGCCATTAATTTGGGAAGTACAGGTGGTGTAAATGTTTGCGACAGAAAATTTTTAATTGTGATTAGGAAAGACTTAAATAAAGAGAATTACGAAATTCAAGAGACGCAAATGAGAAGCCTTAATAATCAGGAACGTACGAGAGTAACGTACATACCGCTGACGTCACTCGAGGTCTCTCGCATAATTAAAACCGTCTCTTTCTGCAAGTTGGAAACATTACGAAGCTCAAGTCCGTGAGAATTTACTGCGCATGACAACTCACAAAGCGAGGTGTTGAAAAAAAAGTCAGCGAAGTGCGCAGCTTAGGAAAATTAAGGTTTCGTAAACGCAGAGACACACACATACAGCATAAAACACTCTTCAAAGCAACTTGAGAACCTCATGGTCACTCTCTGGAAAACATCATGTTATGTGAGGAAACTGTAAAATTTAAACATTTTTAATTTAAACATTGCTATATTTGTTACTGATATGTAGCTCTGGGTTATGGGCACCATATAGAATACCTCTGTCAGTTCGGGCTTTGCAAAGCAGTCATGCCTATCTTATGCTACAACGGCAGTTTAGTCACTGGAACAGTCTTAAGCTTGACCACCGCCAAGTTTAAACCTCTTATATTCTCTGTGTCTGGATTCGCCTTATCCTATACTGGGAACACGTTCATTCTCATGATTGTGTATGACTTCTGCTTGTTGCTTGCACAATTTTGTTATATAACAGTATACATATGGAAGGATGAAAGCCGTTTGCAAATCGCGGACCGGTGTGAACCTTGGAAAATTTCCAGTGGTGCGGAGAACCTTGCTTTGCAGGCGCTGCAATTTTAACAATATACAAAAATCCAGTCCGTACCTCACAGGAAACAATTACGTTTCCGCTACAAAGTCAATTCGGTTAACGCTGTTTACGAAAACAGTCGCTGTTTACCGTGAGAAGCATATGGAACACACAGATACACTCTGTGTGCATGATCTCTAGTTCTGGTGTGTTAATCGTGTGGTACGTATAGTAACCGCTGGACTTTAAAAGGTCAATATTATACCCCTGTCTAAGCCTAGACCTTACTAGTAATATCTTTCCTTTGTGTTTTCCTATCAGAGCTGTGTATGCACCCCTATCGCATGTGTGCTACATGCTCTGTCCATCTCATCCTCCTTGGCTTCATCATCCTAATTATATGGATGAAAAGCACGACTATTGAAACTCCTCATTATGAATTTTTCTCTATTCTCTTATTTCATCCCCCTTTAGTATAGACATTTTCCTCAGTACCTTGTTCCTAAATATTCAGAGTCAATATTATGCATTTAATGTGAGAAACCAAATTTCACACCGATGCAAAACAGGAGGAAAACTTTTAGTCCTGCGTGTTTCAATATTCATATTCTTATAGCAGAAGGGAAGACAAAGGCTTCTAAGTTGAATTGTAGCAAGCATTTGCTCAGTTTAATCTGCTCTTAATGTCTGGTCTAATAATATTGATGTGTATATTGCAGCTATGAGACAGCCAATGAGATCCAAGCTCAGGAGGAAGGTTACGTGAAGAATCTCGGAAATCCTGAACAGGAAACCCAGTTCGCTCAAGGTGGGTACCAATACACGGCTCCAGATGGCACTCGTATCAGCCTCACCTACACTGCTGACGAGAACGGCTTCGTCCCACAAGGAGCCCACCTTCCAACACCACCCCCAATCCCTGAGGCCATCCAGAGGGCACTGGAATACATCGCTGCACACCCAGAAGAGAACGAAGCGGGAGATGGCAGTGAACCTCAACCGGCCTACAAGCCGGCCGGCAGACAATACTGAGCCATGGAACCATCTGTGGGTTTCTATGGTAATTTCTGAAGATTCAAAGATTCCTTATTGGGTTCTGTTCATTATATACTAATAAAAATCAAAGGAAGTTAACAATTTTAGTGACAAAATATGTTGTACCTCTTAGCTAACTCTAGAAGCTGCGGTTTCAGTTCTTACAGAGTTCAGTCGAAATTTTCGACAACTGGCACTTGTAGGGTTAATAAGCAACATCTCATTGTAAAATTTTACAGCTGTTGTCCATAGGCGACATATTTATTCATTTTCATAATTATTATCATAATTAACAAATCTTTTCGTATGATTAGGTAAAGACCGACGCCCAAATGTTGAAAGTATATCTTCAGGTTTTGACGTAAGAAACATAATTTAGTTTGTTTTTCTTTGAAAGGAAGTGATGTAAGATAATTCTGGCAAAGTGCAATGCTTACAACATATAATTTGTTACGAATCGAGCACCGCAGACAATAACTTTGGCGACACTGTATCATACCACTCATCTGCGAACGACTCCGCTCTATCATTCATAACTTCACAACTAATTTGACACATGTCTGCATATTTCTAATAAAAATCTGAATCATAATTTTATAATAATGAAATAAACCTACCAAATTTCGTGACATACTTTATTTAGTGGTAGGAACCTAAATACACCAAGAATTTTGGTAAATGCTCACAGTTAGTGCTAACAGCTCTCAATACGTGGTTTCATTATGAAGATATGTCACTGTATTGAGTGGGTTTATGCTCTATATCGGACACCTAGCCAAAGTTTCTGTCCATAGAAATGTAGTATATGTGAACAATTATTTATGAGTGGCAAAATAACAGGTGGAAAAATATATATATACACTAAAGAAGAATACAAGAAAAGGAAATATGTAAATATAGGGCCTCTGTGTGATGCGCCACATGTACAGCGTGTTCATAAAGCCCCTCTAAAGTTTATTATTGTATAGATCACATGAAATATCAATAGGTCCATATTGTTAAATTTTCTTCCAAACTCCTCCCTAATAGAACTTCTGGGTTCGAAGTGATAGTACTAATACATATTCTTGTGTAGAGGCTGTTCATTACTAATTATGTCTCACGGAAAGAAATAAGAGTTAAAATTATTTTAATATATTAGACAAGGATATTATGAACACCCTGTATTACTATGACGTAACTTGCCACACTATGGCCAAGGTTTCGTATTTATAGTTTAATTGTTTGCAATTCGTGTTCATACACGTACAGAGTTTCCGCACTATGTTTACATAAATATATTTATGTATACAAGATGTATGTAAAAAGTTATTAGGTAATAAACTAAGAAAACGTTTTATACAGAAAGAAAAACATATAACTCAGCTGTCTTACCAAGTTCACAGATAAACCACAGTGACACCTACATTGTAACCGTGGAAAATCGCATACATTCCTGTGTTCGCACAAGTACACGTAAGCTGGCATTCTTCTGTTCTGAGACACAACGAAACAAAAGCAAGTTTCGGGTTCGTACAATAATAAGCAAGGAAATATTTAGACAGGAGTTGCAAATAGTTAGGAAATATGAGATAATGCGCTTAATGAATTCTCCTATTGCGTGAAGGGTCTAATTTTTCTTGAAGTTATGTTGTCTCTATTCCATATTGCACCATAAATACTTCAATTAAGATACGTACTTTCTTACCGTAAGCGCAAGTGCAAACGTGAGAAAATTCTGGTAAATCATGTCACTTGAATTCTCTTACATTGCATTCTCTGTTACGAAGTAATTAGTTCTTGGTGGACCTCAGGTTCTCACAGCAATGACTATGAAGGAGTACGTCTTCTTTGCGACGCCTTATAGACTGGTAGACGTTCACAGACATTTCGAAAGGAACTACTGCATCCGTCTTCAGGGTCAAAATGTCAGTCAAGCAACGCTCCACTTGCTGTCTGCTTCTTGTTAGTTGCTTTGTTTGGCCTACTCTCCGACCCTGAAGATGGATGTAGTTCGTTCCCTCGAAATGTTGGCGAACATTTAGCGGACTACACGGCGTCATTTCATTACTTTTCGTAATTATTATTTACTCTCTATACACTTCATGTTCTTTCTTGACTTTAATCTCTTCGTTTCTCTCATCCTCGCATTTATCATTTCTTTTATGTTCAGTAATTCACTTGACTATCTGTTCCTACTTTCTTAGGTCGTCCCCTTCCCGCCTCTTACAAACTCATTTTAACCCTTTTTCTTATTAAAGCAAGTTGTTTGTACAACTGGCCTCATGTCACTTCTCACACCCTCGAACCCACCCCCTTGTCTGAAATTTTTCTTCTGCGCATTCAAGGTTACTCTTAGCCTTGTTCGAAGTTACGTGACACTTGCTTTACTATTCTACTACTACTACTATTACTACTACATTTTCTTCTCCTCTTAGTCTTCAAGATCCGAAATCTTTCATTGTCTTGAAGGTAAAAAGGAAAAGGTATCTCTGTAAAAAGCCGTGGAGACCCATAATGATGTGAGACGTCGAGGCTGGCACGTTTTCTAGACAATCGGCTCACAGATGGCGATGAGGTTGTCAGCCTTACGCACCGGCTGCCCTTTACCCCCAGGAAGATTCCTGGTACTCATTTCTGTTAGAGGCTGAGTCGACTCCAGGGCCATAGTGGGGCTGAAAGGATTAGGTCAATTGAAAATTCCAGTGATCTCATTGTCTTGTATTTTCTGTTTACCATCACCTCTACTTCCGACGTCTGACGATTCTCTGTCGATCTCTGTTCGTATCGACTTCCATCGGTATCGATTCCATAAGGAAACCGTAGTTCAAACTTTTCTGATTACAATTCATGCGCGGCTCTTGGCTTCTTTGTGATAAGACAATTGTTCCCGTGCTGTCTGCATATTTCTGCGTTTCCAGACTCTCTCATTACTGAAAATACACTTACGTAGGCTTTTCTTTATCCATGACATCAAAAATAAACCTTGCGTGTTATATTAAAGCGTAAAACGGGCGAATGTATACAATGCACAATACATACAACTCCCCCTTAAGAGTATCTCGCGAAGCCTTATGGGAAATTCCGTTTGCTTTCTTCCCATGCAAGCTCAGTCCTTAAGATGTCGAGTACAAATTAAATCTTTGTTTCGTCAATACTACAACAGCTGACCCGCTCTCCGTTGCTAGGAAACCAGATTTAACATGCTGACATAATATTCACCTTTCATTTGCTGACTAACTAATAAGAAAACTGATGTAATTCCCGTTGAAAATTCGAAGGACAGTTCCTTCATTTCATCATGATCATCACGGGCAAAACAGTTCTTTTTAGCCACAGCCTATCTTAGAAAACTCTGCAACATTTCTCTTGAATTAAATCATCCGGTTTTCACTTATAAGGATTTCGCAACAGCAACTTTTTTACGGAGCAAGATTGCCAGCTTACGTCCAACTCCCAACTTTGAAGGCCAGGTCCCTGTACTTCTGTCCCCCAGTGGCTAGGGGGGGGGGAGCAATTATATCCCCAGGCACTGAGTTCCCTTTTCGTCGCCCTCTGCTTCTCACAGGGCTATGGTGGAGGTATTCTAACCCGCCGTCATAAGGGAAGTTCCTTCTTTGTTACACCGATTAATGCCTTCATCTTCATCTTTCCCTTCCTTCCAGTCTCTCACATTCCTTCTGAATCCTTTTACTTGCCCATCCTATCGTCGTTACTCCTCCTTCTTTCTTTCCTCTCCTTTACGTTAGAACGTTTAGATAAATATCGCCAAAACATGCCTCGATGCTCTGCTCACTTCAAGTCATTTTATGTTTGGGTAAGAAAATAAATATAACAAATGTTGTGTTAGAACAATCTGCATTTGGTTTCCATGGAAACGACGTGCTGAAGTGCCTCTAAACCCTGCTACACAAAGCCTGGACCCATGGGAAATGTGGCTGGGTATGCTCTAGAGCCGCCCTGATCTCTGTGGAGAAGAGAGGGAACCCCTGTCCTTGGTGGGAGATCCCGCGACATCCGGGCCGTTGCTAGTTCCTATGTCGACTTAGATATCAAATAATAACTAACTCCATGGAGCGGAGCCCCTCTTGAGAAGGCACCACTCGCTCAGTCACTCATTAATTTCCCAGTATTTATAGAACCTGAAGGTTTATTGCCGTGTTTATAAAAGACCACCACTGGTCCTGTCCTAAGCCAGATGAATCCAGTCCTCGTCACCTCAGTTTATTTCTTTAAGATCTATTTCATTGTTATAGCCCTATCTTCGTCTGTATCTTCCTAGCGGGATCTTTCATTCCGACTTGCCCACCAAAAACCTTGTATGCATTCCTTTTATCACTCGTGCATGCTACATTCCTAGCCCGTTTCATTCTCCTTAACTTGATCATTCTAATTATACTTGGTGAAGAGTATAGGTCAGGAAGCTCCTCATTGTGCAGTTTTCTCCAACTTCCTGTCACTTCATTGTTCTGGGATCCACAGAGCCGATCACACTGACCTCGCGGTCTAAGGCATGAACTGTCTTCGCTCGCTCGAACGCTGGGATCGTAGGTTCGAATCCCAATCAAGGCATGGATGTCTATGCGTGCGTTTATTCTGTGTTTGTGCTGTTCTGTGTATAGTTAGCGGTCTTGCGACTGGCTGATCCCCCGTCCAAGGGGTCATACCATCTGTGTAAAAAGGATTAGGAAACGGGAGAAGAGGCCAGGAACCAACAAAGAGCTGTAGAGCCACTGATGAATGAATAAACGAATGGGATCCAAATATTCTCCTCAGCACCTTGTTCTGTGTTCTTCCTTACGTAATATAAACGCTGAGAGGTTATATTCTAGTCCTAACACAAATAACGTTTTGAAGCACCATTAAGTCCTTATACCTTCTAGTTATTACGACACTGGTTCTTTCTTACCAACCTGACAGATTAAAATACCCGACGCTATGTGGGGGTCATATATGTACTTTCACTCCACCTAAATGTCGCACACAAATCAGTTGCGTCACATAACCTCCATTTTATGAAGCGTCAGCCTCTATCCTAAGTTCGATTTTCAGAAGGATTGGCTGTTAATTTGTATGGGTGTGAAACTTGGTCCCGCACATTAAGGTCAGAACACAGACTAGGCGTGCTTGAGAGGAATTTATGTTGCTAACAAAGGGGAAAGAATGACTAGAGATGACTGCATAGTGACGACCCACAAGGCAGCGTCCACACGAGCGCACAAAATGCGTCCGTTGTAGAAATAAACAAGAGAGGCGAATGCTACGCTTTCTTCTGTCTCCACTGCACATAAAAATCTACGCACCGGATTCTGTCACTGTGTGGTGTCCTCAGCAACGTCCGTCATAAAGTACGTTCGTTACAACGGACGCATTTTGTGCGCTCGTGTAGACGCTACCTAAGTTGTACACCTATTCAAATGATACCAGAATGACCAAGTCATGGGCGTTGATACAAGCAGGGCATGCAGTACAAAACCGAGACAACAGAAATAATTACACAATTTTGTAAGATTTGAGGTTCTCACAGCGGTAATTGTGAGTTTTCTGTCTTCTGGGATATAACGCTGTGTTGTCCGTTGAAAGTCAACCGCCGTTTCGGAGGAACATGCCTTCATCTTCAGTGTTGAAGGATAAGGCAAGCCAGAAAACGGCGTGAATCAAGTTTTAAACAGCGATGTTTTCTAGCTTGGCTTATTCTTCGGTCCTGAAGATGGAGGTGACACGTTGCTCTGAAACTTCGGTTGACTTTCAAGTGACTACACGGCGTTATATCATAGAATACAGAAATTTTCATACAAAATTTTGACCGTAAAACACGATTGAAATAGGCCTTTTGGAAGACAGATGGGGAACAATATGAAAATACGAGTAGGCGGGTGGGAGCGGTGGGAGAGTGAAACTGGATCCATTTGACTATGAATATGATCAGTCATGAGAGGAACTTCTTGCTGCAAGGAGTTGGTTAATCAGTTCCCCGTTCTTTGTTTAGTTATGAAATACTGCAGACTCCTACAAGCGTCCAGTAGAATGTACACAGTTGATGTGGGTGTGAACTCAGGACACTTCATGAAAGTCTGTGTAAGTTTTATATCAGTCCCAATCATTATCATAATCTTCCCAGTTTGAGGTTACTGCCCCAGCTGCATACAACACAGCCGGAAATCATAAGAACTAAATTCATGGATTGATCAATCTCGTGAAATCTGAAGACACGCTGAACAGAAGAAGCGAAAGAGAACTGACCTACGGCTATTGTTGCGAGATTTGTTCAGGGAAAGGTCTGTTGTTGCTTAACTCAAAGCAACATATCGTGAACATCCGGCCAATGCACTTAATTGGTGCCCGCAATTTAGATACTATGCCTGATATGTGCA